AGAGAGAGAGAGAGAGAGAGAGATTACAGGCAGAGGTTATGTCGGGCTATGAGGCCCAGGATCTGATTCAACATTTTTGTGGCAGACATTGATTGGACACTCAGCAGGGAGACTATTTTTGGACTTCGCTATCGTGATCTTGGTCTTCTCCCTCATCTCCATCTTCGTCTCGCCCTTCCTCCCTCACCTCATCCATGGTATCTCCCCATGTGCATGTCAAAGGAGGGACCTTTCTTCTATGCATGCGGTCCCTCCTCTCTCACATGTGTGGTGTGTGATGGGTTGAGTTGCGTCAGTATCTGACAGGTCAGTTCATATCTTTGAGTCTTCCTCTGCGCTACATTGTGCTATTTTTGTATGTATCTGGATGCACATTGCTTGTTGATGCTTCGCTCATGATACATTGTCCATTCAAGTCCTTTTCATCACTCTGTGGATCCTTTGGCTCCATATACATCGCTCTATCGAGCATGTATCAGTTGGTATTGGAGATGCGCGAGTGAAATAGGACATCAGACCTGACTAAGCAATCGATTGATTGATTGATCGATTGATTGGTTGATTGGTTGATTGATTGATTGATTGATTGATTGATTGATTGATTGATTGATTAACTGAGCGATTGATTGGTTGATTGATTGATTGATTGATTAGGATAACCTAATTAAATTTCGTTCGCGATTCTGCCTTACTGTAAAATTTCAAACTTCTTTCTTTTTCAGAAATTCAAAATTCTCTCTTTTGCGCAAATTCGTTTTTTTCAAAAAAAATTTGTAAATTCCAAGTCGCGCATTATTAATACTGGAAATTATTATTAAATTCGTTCGCGATTCTGCCTTACTGTAAAATTTCAAACTTCTTTCTTTTTCAGAAATTCAAAATTCTCTCTTTTGCGTAAATTCGTTTTTTTCAATTTTTTTTTGTAAATTCCGAATCGCGCATTATTAATACTGGAAATTATTATTATTATTATTTTTTTTTATTTTTTTTTTTAAGCCCAGGGTGTTGTACAGGCCAAGGACCAGACCCGCGGTGATTGCTGGCAGCGGCAGCCGATGATTGTAATGACAGGATAGGCCACCTACCCTACCATCCCCATGTTAATACTCCCAGCGCACCCCCTGTCCCTACTATCCTACCTCAGTGTGACCAGCACTCAGCACCATCACCCTACCAGTATCGAGGGCAACTTGGACCAGACAGCAGTGACAAGCCCCCAGCCCTAGTGGAAGCGGAAGCGGACGAACCTTGCCATATGGGAACTTCGTACGCCAGGCTCATGCGATCTTCTACAGGCCCAATATCAGAGAGTCTACCCAGCAGGAGTACCTAAGCAAGGCAAGCCGGCGCCCACGGACGCATCCTACCGTCCTTCCCCTAACTTACCCAAGGCTAGGTGGAACTCAGACTAGCCGGAGTGACTTATATCCCTACCCTACACTAGAGCTAAGCCATGCGTGAGTAGACCCCGTCATGATAGACCCCCCCCCACCCGGTATCATAGTTGTGTATATATGTCTGCCCAGAGGCTATGTATGTTTTGTATGAGCCCGTAGGCTATGTGTATATATTCACGAGCGATGTTTGCATATGCCGGAAGGCTATATGTGCTCTGTGTGACTGAATAGCGAGATGTATATTCCCGATGGCCAGATATGTGTAGAGGGACCTATGTGCTCGTTGAAGAGATGACAGGCCGAGCTGGACAAGAACCCCCCCAAAGTACCAAGCCAGACTCGAACCCATGATCTGTGACATGTGACCTGACGACTCTACCATTTGAGCAACAATCGCAAACGCCTGTGTGTGATATGCCAGACTGGGGAGATAAACAGAACCACCACGAGCAACAGCGACAAGCAACCCACGCAGTATCAAGACCCGACATACAACACCGTGGACAACCCTTGGGTGGTGTGCAGGCAGTGTCTGTAATAGCTTACCATGCGTCAGCCCAAGGGGGGGGGTGTCCAGCCGTGCGTCATTCTAACGCCCTGCCGGTGCGCAAGGCTGCGGAGTTTTGAACC